CTTATTGATAAGATATTAAAAAACTTATTTATAAAGTTTTATATAATTTAATTAATTAGTTATTGAATTATAAGTAATTATATGATTCTGGTTTTTTTTGCACCATACTGTATATATAGGTAGTTTAATAATATCTATTGACTATTTCTTATAATAACTTATTTATTTGCTTTTAATTTAACTATATAAATCCATACTAAAAAAGTAAATTTATAAGCTAGAAGAGATTTTAATTAGAAGATAAAAATTCAGTTATCAGAAAATATAAATGTTGTTATTAATTTTAAACCACCCAATTTGTTAATCCTTTTTTGTCAAAAAGTGTTTTATTTATAAAGTTCAATAAAACAATTTAATATTCAATATTTTTTATTTTGAACTTCTAAATAGATAGTATATTTGTATTATTATGGTCAAATTAGAAAGTTATTTTTTTTTAAAGTTGATTAACCTAATTTTAATTAATAAAGCATTTGTTAGAATTAAATTGAAAAAAATTTTTATACAAATAATTTTTTTATTTCAGTTTTTAATTATTAAAAGATTAAAGTAAAAATAGATTTGTAAATAAGAGATAACTATTTGTTATATATTTCAACTATTAAACCTTTATAATTCAAATCAATCTATATATAATCTAAATCAAATAATATTTAATATTATATAATATAATTATATATTTTTAATCAAAAGTTTTGTTTTTATGTTATTTAATTTAACTTAATTAGAATTTAATTATTCAAATATAATATATATAGAATAATCTATCAATTGATATATAAAAAGTAAAACATTATATTTTTTTATAAATATTAAACTAGAAACATATATTTGATAATTTATAAATATTATTTACTATGCTATAGATTTATAAAATTTTTAAATATAAATAAATTATTTTTTAAAAAATTATTAATATATTACAAATAAATATGCAATTGTATTTACTATAAATTTTTTTCTTATTGGTTTTATATATTAATATACTTTTTATAAAATAAAAATAATAATATAAAATAAATTAGATTGACCAAATGATTATTCTTATTATTGTTATAATTTTAGATAAAAATATTTTAAGTTTTTTTATTAAATTTTATATAAAATAGTACAAAAGTTATAATACTTTATTAATTAAAATAAAATTAATACAATTTTATAATAAGTAAAAATATAATAAAATATATAAAGTAATAAAAACAACTTGTTAAAGTTGCCATTTATATTTGTATTTTAATATTTTTTTAATAATAAAGTATATATAATATTTTTTTATATTTTGTTTTTATTGGTTTTAGAATATAATATATATCACTTTATATTTTATTAATTTTTATTTTACTAACTTGAAAGTATAAAAAATATTATTTTATGTTTTGTTAAATTTTACTTTATTAATTTTAAAGAATAACAGACAGTTAATTAAAAATATAATTAATAATAATAATTAATATAATAGTAATTAATATAAAACTAAAATAGAAATAACTAATTAAAAATAATAACAATTAGAACAATAGTAATAAATATAAAGTAAAAAAATAAAATAATTATAACAGTATCAATAACAAAGTAAATAATACAAAATATATTATACAAGTAATATAAATAAGCAATAAAAGAAACAAATTTATAAAAATACAATAGTTTATTCCATGTATTTATAAAATATTTAAAATCAAATATTTAAGGTTTTTAGTTTATTTTATTTTTATTTTTTTTTTTTAAAGACTAAAGTGCAATATATGCGAGGATTTTATTGTAGTTCAATAAATTACAAATAACCATTATATGAACAATTTAGTTTAATAGACGCACTGCTCTTATTCTAATCCAAGTATCAGGTTTTTAGTTTATTATTTTATCTAAAATATATAATATATATAAATAATAAATAATATATTTATCCTGGTCTTTTATCCAGCGATCTGCTACAAATTCTCTTTGATCTTCTTTACTGATACCCTTTCAACTGTGAAATTAAAATAAGAAACAATAAAAGAATATCCCAAGAGACCTCCAACTATTCTAAAAAAATGGCAAAAATCAACTTCTCCTTAATTATTTAGAATATTAATAGGATAATACTTAAGAAAACAATTCTTCTTACTTATTCCAATCCAAGTCAAATCCAAAAGTCAACAATACTATAAACTGGAACAATCCAATCTTATATTTTCCAGAAAATTCTCCAATTAACAACTTTCAACTGAATAGTAGCATCAAATAGTGCAAAAAGATTTTTTAGCATTACTAAAACATATATAATAGTGAAAAGCTTATTAATTCTAAAAACATTTGACTCTATTTACAATTCTAAAGATATCAAAATAATTAACAAATCTAATAAAACCTTGAAAAATACACGAAATAACAAATATAGTAACCTAATTGCTTTTCATATCAAGCTTTTATCAAGTACTCTTTCTATATAAGAGAATATTTATTAACAATATTCAGATTAATATACAGATCTCTACTGTTCATGATATGAATTTCATATCAAAAATATATAACATATATTCAAATATTCAATAACTTCATAAGAAATTAATTAAATCATCAAGAAAACCAATCTTATCCATCACCCCAATGGAGACTTAGAACTGATAACTCATATATAGCAGATTGTAAAGCTAACATGTAACATTACTGACAATATTTTCTCTCTATCAGACTTTAATAACTGGATACAAATATCAACTGAAGCCCTAATACAACTATATAATACTATATAGAAACCATATTGTGCTATGGCTAATATCTCTTCACAAAATGATAATAAATAAAAAGACAAATCTTCTATCAACACAATTAAAGACAGTCAAACAGCTTTCAAATCAAACTTACAAAAATCTTTATTAGTACAAAATTCAATAATAACAATTGACCTATCTACTTTAGTCACAGACATTTATATTTAAAACAATCTTAACTTTTTCAAATGTATTACTAAACTAATCCAAAATTATATCAATCTTATTTTCTTTAATACTGAGTATGTAAAATATAACCACTTGGTACCTCTTGACAAAATATATTGTTTTAAAATTTATTTTCAATATTATCTACTAAAAAAAAATAAATAAATAAATAATATATTTAATTTCTTTAATTATTATTATAAAGTTATAAATATTTTAGAAGCTTTGTTATTTATTGTTTCACTTTTTATTGTATGTATATAATTTCTGAAAAACCAATAAAATTATATATATTATTTTAGATGCATTTTATTTTATTTATTTATATGAAAAAATATTTATATAAGGAAGATCTTTTTTAAAAAAATTAATATAGTTGTTTCATTTCTTTTATATTTAATAAAGCTTTCTTTTATTAATTATAATTAATACATCTTTTTTAAGATAAAATATAATAATAAAAATAATAATAATAGTTTGGATAAAAAAATTTTAATATTAATTATTTAGAAAGTTTTGTTGTTAATAATATTTCTATTTTATTGTAAATTGTCAATAATAAAATTAAAATTAACAAAAAGTAATAAAATATATAGCTTTATCAATATAAAACAAATAATATAAAAAATAAATATTCAAAAATATATCAGTTAATATTATTTAATTCACTATATTTTTTTATCATTTAATTATTATTAATTAAAAGAATTATAAATCTAAAAAACTTTAAAAAAAAAGAAATAAAATATTCTGAGAATATAAAGATTTTAATTTGCTTAAACTTATTTTATAAAATATCTTATTAAAAATTTTTGTTTTTTTTAATAAAAATATTTAATATAAAAAATAATTATCAAATATAAAAAAATTTATATTTTTTATTAATATATTATAAAAACTTATTTATTTTATACAAAAATTAAAATTTATTTTCTTTAGAACTTTAAAAAGATTTTTGTCCAAGTTTTTCTTATAAAATAACTTAATAAAAATTTTTAAAAATATAATTATTTATAAAAGTTTAAAATTTTTTTTTTGATTTTTATGTATTATTTCTCAAGTTTTAAAATATATTTGAATAAAATTTTATAAGAATTTAATAATTCTTTTTATTTAATTATAAAATAAAATATAAAATAAAGAAAATTCTAAAAGTTTATGACTCACTAGAATATCGGAGAAGAAACTGAAAAGAAACTTCGTCTATATGTTGACGTATAAAATACCTCAAATGACTGAGCGAGTAGTGTCAGAAAATTCCTAACCATTATAGGATAAACCGCAGTGGGTGACAGTACAGTATGTTGTATCACGGATTAATACGTATCGTATTTTCATTTCAATACGACCGCTGCCTTTCGCATATCGCTAGTTATTTTTTATTTTTTTAATATGAATTTGCCACCAGAATGCATCCCTTTAATCCTAATTCACCTGAAAGCAGACATAAAGACTTTACATTCTTGTCTTTTCGTTAATCGTCTTTGGTGTAGTGAAACCGTGAGAATCCTATGGCATCAACCATTCAGGCATCTATATACTAGTGACTGTCAGATGGAGATAAGAATATTGCAGGCCGAAAATTTAATCCTTACATATTTATCATGCATATTCTATCAATATAATGAGGAATTGGTGAAAAACTCTGTCATTTTAACACCTGTGAAAAAACCTCTATTTAACTATATTCAATTCTTGAAGAACTTGGATTTACTCGATTTCTTTGCTGTCATTCAAGGCTGCACTGAATCTGAGCATACTCATACCTTCGAAAATTATAAACTTGCTATATCTTATATTCTACTAGATAATTCATCATCTAAACCCGTCGGAACTTTAGTAAATGGGTTCATTGGCACGGACTTATTAAACATTATAAGCAAATTAATCGCGGACCACTCAACAGGACTTTATAGATTATCGTTAGACGCCGAGGGTAGTGAAGGAATAAAGGTTGTGTTTAAAAAGAATATGATTATTAAACCAAAGAGTTACCTATACGTCATGAAACTTTTTGACTCAAAGGGTCATTTGTCTCAACTTGCCGAACTCATTATGACAACAAAAGTCTTCAATAAAGCGAAAATATTATTGGCGTTAATTCCAGTTTCTAGGAACCTGAAGAAAATAGTAGTAAGAGTGGATTATATAATTAATGTTAGATCTTTTCGGTACAGAGAGTATGAAGAATATCTTGTTAAACAAGATGCAAAGGCTCTGTCCGGTTTGATCGCGGCACAAGAAAGTTTAGTGCATCTTGGGTTGCATGGTTGTGCCGAAGGGTTAGATATTTTGTTGGCGTCAATTGAGAGTCAAGCAAACACTTTAAAGTATTTGTCATTTGTAAAAGTTCATTTTCACGGCTTTGACATGTTCAAACACATAGCTCCTTTGAGAAATTTAGAGCAGATTCAATTTAGTTATTGTACATTTGATCTAAAAGATGCTTCGAGTCCTTATCGTTTCGAGAATAATTTTCCAAAGCTAGTGAAACTTGAAACACAAGGGTCTACAAATGCTGATTATGCAGTCGAAATTTTGAGGTCAGCTGCCTGTAGTTCTTTCAACGTTGAGTGTGAACCTCGTAACTCGATATTTAACTTAGAATATTGGTAAGTACCTTGTCTTGCATGGAAATTTCTTGATATAGTTAATTTCACAATTTCTGATACATAAAATAGATTTTTTTATTTATAAACAAAAACTAGTTTGTGCCTGAAGTCATGAGATTACCAATATTTAAGATGTAATATTGATTTTTACTACACAACTCTAGAAATGCGAAGTAGAGTTGTTATTGGCTTATTTGAAGCCGGCTCTAGCCACAAAATAGAGCCAAACCAAACTAAGCCATTAGAACTAT